AAATTTTACTATGTTTCATAATCTTTATTGAGCAAAACGAGTACTAAGAAAGAACTACAAATTCAGTATTTTTTGATTTCTGTAACCAATGTGGTTAGCAGATGAACAAATGTTCGTTAATCAGTCACTGAATCAGTCAGTCAGTCAGTATTGATGGTTGGGTCAAAAATAGAATAAACTCTATTTGTACTAAGGTTGACTGGATGGCGGAGGGTAAAAAATCGACATTCAGTTTTCACTCAAAAATTTTTTTGATCATAATTTTGTATAATATTTAATAGGTTTTAACTAATCTAATATTTTGTGTATGTCGGACACAACAGTCATCTGATGTTTCCCCAATGGAAAGTTTGAGGAAAAAACTGATATTTTTGGATAAATGGAAGAAATTTTAGATGGCTGTTTGACCGGCCAAATGTCTAGTCGCTTGGATGATAGTTTTACGTCTGTAAGGATAATTTTTGAAATAATAATTTCACTATTTGTTATCTTAGAAAAAAAAAAAGCTGTTTTTCACTTCTTTTTTTTGGTGGTTTTTAATTTATGCTCTTTTTTCGTTTTTCTTCACTTGTGTCCAACTCTAATACGGTTGATAATTATTCGTTTATTCGACTTGCTATTGTAGTTACTTTATTTTTTACTTTTTTTTTCTGATCTATTCTATCGCTTATTCAACAATAATAACAGGAGGGAACGTTGGAAAAAAAAAACAGAATATTTAAAAAGGTTAAAATAAAAGGTTGAAGAAATGGATTGGTTGAAGAAGTTTGTGGTGCTCAATGCAAAAAAAGCTTTAACGTTTTATGAGAATTACGTTTTTGCTTGGCAATAATTTGACATACATTTTTTTTCTTTGCCTTTGCCGTTGGCTTTAGCTTTGGCTTTAACTTTAGCTTTTAAAAATTTCCGGCTTTTTTCTGCCACCTTTCAACCATTTTCTGCAGTTGTCCACCTCTCCTCTCAAAACTTCTCCAATCCTTCCTTATCCGCCATCATCGCCATCACCATACTCATCTTCGTTGTCGTTCTGGTCGTCGTTGTCGTCCGTAGTTATCGTTGTTGTTGTTGCTGTTCGATCGTTGATGGCTTCTTGTTGATCGTTGTTCTTGCTATGTGTTTTTCGTCGTCATTTTTTGAATTATTGAATGTTGACGTAATTTTTGAAGCTTCTTTTTTTTCCCCATCTCCCTCTCCTCCCTTTTGCGTTGTCAATAAAAACAAATTTTGGCTGCTATTTGTTTCCTCTTCAATAGTTGTAAATTACAAAGTTCAATGTTTTTGGAAAAAGCGGAATGAGATAAAGGAAGATATAACTTTTTCCCCTTGCCATATTTTCATGTTATTTTATTTTTTATTTGTTGTATTTATAGTGGGCGTAATAGTGGGGGGAAAAAAAGAGTTAGTTTTATGAAGAAAAATATCAGTGAATTGATACATTTTATTGCTGATGATAGTAAATTTTTTTTCTTTCTCTATCTGGTCGAATTTAAGTTGGAAGAAGAAAAGAAAAAAAAAAGATTTTTTTTAGCTACTAAGTTTTTCTTTCGTTTTGTTTTTCAACCATAATGCTTTGGATTATTTATGTATCTAAGTTATGTATCCAATTTTATTTTATTTTTTTAAATTTTTTGGTTTTTTGTTGTTCTTTTTAAGGGACATTTATTTTTGTTTCCACCTCTTTTTATGGTGTCACTGAGAAGATGAAAAAGAAAAAGAAGAAAAAAAAAAAGCTGGAAAAATGAGTAACCAATTTAGGAGAAAGAAAGCTGTTTTTTTTTTTGGCAAATTTTTTTTTTCGTTTTTGTTTTTTTTTTCAATTATTTGCTCAAAAGTTTCATGTAAATTGGATTAGTTGAAATATTGTCTTCTTATTTTGCTATGTTAAACAGAGTGAAAAAAAAAAAAGAAGAAGTTGACTTGATCATTTCTTGGTCTTATTTATTTATGTTTTTTTTTTTTTCCAGTTTGGTTTGGTTTGGTTTGTAAATTGCTTAAAAAGTTTATGTGTTTGCGTTAATGTTTCAGAAAAAAAAAAAAAAGGTTTTTTTTTTTTGAAAATTTTACTTACCATAGATTTTGTTAAGGATATCAGAAGAACTTTTTTTTTTGAACATAAACCAAAACAATGGCTGCAAATGGTGATATTCCGGAATCATTGGAGGAGATCAATCTACGGATGAATGCCACCACTGATGAGGTAAACGATCAACAAAAGAAACAACATTAATTTGCCCTTTTTTGTTTTTTATATCTTAGACAAAAATTTTTTGGGCACAATTTAGAGGTGATATCAGTAAGACTGTTTCTAAAATTATAAAAACATAAAGAAAAAACAGAAAATTAGAATTTTATTGATAAGTACAGTTTTTTATCAATTTAATCGTCATCTCTTTTGACAGATTATTTTTATTTATCTGTTGTTTTTGCTATAATATTTGAAAAAAAAGCAAAAAGAAAATAGAAAATTAAATTTGCATTTTAAACTGTTAATTACTGATGACAATGTAAAAAAACGCTTTAGTTTTTTAGTCTTTGGAATCAACACGACGAATGCTGCAGTTATGTGAAGAGGTTAGTGGTTAGATATTAGTAAAAATTGAAAATCTTAGATTTTATGTCAAGTTTAAATTTTTAATCTTCTAAAAGAAGAATAAGGAAGATTTTTGGTTTTGTTACTTTTCTTTAGTGATCGATGGTTTTTTTTTACCGATATTATTGCTTAGTTTAATGCGAAGTAAAAACTTAAAATAATGGCACAAGTTTGATTTATATACCTTTTTCAAGGGACAGTTATTTATTTTTGTTAGCTTGAAAAAACAAAATTCCTTTCTTTTCTGTTTTTTTGTAGAGCAAAGAAGCTGGAATTAAAACGTTGGTTATGCTGGATGATCAAGGAGGTCTGTGGTTAATAATCATTTATTATCTTTGATAGTTTTATTGATGTCAAATTTTACTGATGAATAGGTGTCGTTTTTTTTTTTTTGTTGCTGTTGCTGCGAAAAATTATTTTTTTGAAATAAAATGGAAACAAAAAGTGGAATTTTTTTGTTTGGAATTAGTTATTTTCATTTTATGTTGTTGATGGCTTTTTTGTTGTTGTTGTTGTTGTTGCTTTTTTGGATTCAATTTCTCGATTTGTTCAGAACAACTGGAGCGGGTAGAAGGAGGTTTGGATACAATAAATCAGGATATGCGTGAAGCTGAAGAGCATTTAAAGGGCATGGAAAAATGCTGTGGTCTATGCATCTTACCGTGTATGAAGTAAGTAAAATTACCCAGTGGATTTAGTTGTCAAAAATTATTTCTGCATATTATTGATGCTAGACTTTTTGTTCGTTCCATTTTACATATGGTTTAATAACTGTAAGTTACTGTAAATAAAGAAGAAAGAAAAGAGTAAAGAAGCAGTAAGATTGAGACTAGAAAAAAACAAAAAAGACACAGCTAATTACTGTACAGGACACAAGATTTCGAGAAAAATTCTGAATATGCAAAAGCCTGGAAAAAGGATGATGACGGTGGTGTGATCAATGATCAACCGCGTATAACAGTTGGCGATTCGGGTATGGGACCACAGGGTGGATACATTACACGGTTAAACATTAAAACTGTTTCGGTTTTTTTTTGCCATTTTTATTTAGCAAATTTATTAAGAATGCAATCAATTTTTTATACAATTATATCGTTGTCGTTTGATGAGGTCAGTGTTTACAGCAAAACTTAATAGTATTTCACTGAATTTGTACCAAAATTATTTATGCTTGTATTACAGTATAACTAATGATGCACGTGAAGATGAGATGGATGAAAATATACAGCAAGTATCCACCATGGTTGGTAATCTGCGGAATATGGCAATTGATATGAGCACAGAAGTTAGTAATCAAAATCGACAGCTTGATCGTATACAGGAGAAGGTAGGAATCTTTAAATAAAAACAGATATAAATTTTGGTTGAAAAAGAAAAAAAAAAGAGAGCTCAACTTTTAAACTGTAACAGTTGGATACCTGACTAAAGTGTCAATATTGTTTTACTGTATTGCTTTGTTTAGTGCTTTTCAGTGACTAATAGTTGTTTTTGGAAGCAAAAAAAAAATTTTAAGTTTAAGAAAGGGAAAAAAAACTTATCCTAAAGGTAGTTTTTGTAGCAAAAAAAAAAAAAAAAAAAAATGAAAAAACGGAAGCAAATGAGCGAAATAAAAAGAAAAAAAATTGCGAAATAAAATGAAAGTTGCCATGATTCTGTTTTATATGATGATTACCCTTATTGGAGTGTTTGAGTGGTTTTTTTTTCGGAGGGTAGGGGAGGGGGGTAGAGGGGAGGGGTGAGAATTGAGGGGTTAGGGAGAAGGGCTAAAGAAGGTTGATGCTGTTCTTCGTTTATTCTTAAATATACACACACGAACACTCATAAATCTAAAATTCATTTCTTAAGCATTTATTACTTTTTTTTT